GAAAGGGGAAGAGAAGGAGAGAAACCTCGATCGTCATCATCCTTGATCTGTTGCCTCCCACATGCGCCCACTGGGGTCGAACCTGCAACCTGGTTAGGTGCACTGACCAGGAAAGGAACCCATGACCTTTTGGTGCACGGACATCGCTCCATCCAACTGAGCCACTCTGGCCAGGGCTACCACTGACTTTTTAACATTAAATTTAGCTTTCTATTTTCTAGCAAGATTTTAGAGGTAAGAAGGTAGAATTCTGTCTGTTCTTCATTATGTCCTTCAAGGATCATTTATGCACACTAAAATATATCTTACAAACTTATTTATCATTCTAATTCATATTATTCACATCACTAAGTTAGTTCCTGACATCCTTTCTTTGTTTAAATATGTTTTTATTGATTTTTTAGAAAGGAAGGGAGAGAGAGATAGAAGCATCATGTAGAGAGATACACCAGCTGCCATCTGCACACCCCATACTGGGGATCAAGCCCACAACCCAGGCATGTGCCCTGACCGGAAATGAACCAGGACTTCTCAGTCCACTGAGCCACACCAGCCAGACAAGATTATACTCTTTAAATTGCTTCAAAGCACAGGCATAAAATAAATGTGCCATTTAATATAATGCAGTAGCCACTAAAGTTGTTCTTGCATCTATTTCTAAAAGTTGACTAGTTCAGAAAGAGCATTTTTTGTTTGTTTGTTTGTTTGTTTGTTTGTTTGTAATGAAATGCTAAGCACTGGGTGGGGATAATGAAACCTAGGTCTCTTTGCTGAGGGACAGAAGCCAGCCCTCCGCCTGCTCAGACTCCCATCTCCTCTCCTGCACCCCGCAGCTCAGCCTCTGACTTAAAAAAGATATTTGAAGATCTTGTTTTCTTTTTTCCCTGCTTTCTTTTTTGTTTCTAAACATGGAAACAGAATACCCAAATTCCAGTTTATTAAGGAGGCAATGGGGGCAAAGACTAGTTAGTATGCATAAGGTTTTTTGGATATTAAAAAGAAGGTATATATTTTTATAATAAAAATTTCAAGGAAAACTTATTTACCAGTCAGTTAATTAAGTTTACTATTTTTTGATATACTTTCATCCTCTTCCTCTCCCCAGTGGAGGTTTGCATTCTTTGTTATATGCCCTCATTTATCACTTAGCCCCTAATAACTTAAAAGCTTATATAATATTTTTATTGGTTTTATTCATGAGTAGGAGAGTATATGCCTCTTGTATTTTTGGGTCCATTCCCTTGCATTGTTTAGACATAATTAACATATAACATATTAGTTTCAGGTGGTCAGCATAATGCTTTGATATTTACATGTTATAAAACGATCACTACAGCCCTGGCAGGTTTGGTTCAGTGCTTGGAGCATCGGCCCGCAGACCAAAGAGTCATGGGTTCCATTCCAGTCAAGGGCACGTACCTTGGTTGTGGTTCATCCAGAGGGGTCATGTGGGAGGCAACCAATCGATGTGTCTCTCTCACACTGATGTTTCTCTCTCCCCCTGCAACTTTATCTGAAGATAAATGAAAAAAATATCCTCTGGTGAGGATTTAAAAAAAAAAAAAAGATCACTACAATGAGTGTAATTAACATCCATCGCCACACATAGATGCAACTTTTTTTCTTGTGATGAGAACTTTTAAGATCTCTTGAATATACCATACAGTATTATTAACCACAGTCACCATGCTGTACATTACATCCCATGACTTATTTTATAAGTGGAAGCTGTACCTTTAGATCACCTTCACCCATTTTGTCACCTTTGTCTTCCATGGTTGCATATTGCACTTGATTCTACCTCACAGAGTACTTTTCAGATTTTTCACTAAGTCTCCGTGGTCCACATTTGTAGGCTCAAAGAAATCCCTGCCCTCACTTGTTGTTTTCCCTGCTCCTCCCCTTTAAAATATCCATCTTAGAAACATCAAACATCTAAGCTTCGACTTTCTGATTCTTCCCTCCATGTGTTCTCCTTCCCGGACTCAGTAGAAAGTAGCTTGTCATCGTTCACAGTGGTCACTGTAATACAATTGCACCAAAAGGTGTTGGGAAGAGTGGGGGCTTTGTCACTGTGCAGAATCATTGCTCTCTTCGTTACCAGGTACAGTATATAGCAGCACTCCTGACCCTGCTCCTTCATTTTTAATGAGCAGAAAAAAATCTTGAAAATATTTTTAAGACTCTGATTCAATTGGGTGAGCTTTTTCAGAGATTCACTTATTTTCTGTTGCTGAGAATTCTAATTTCAAAGTATTTGGTGTGAAATATTGTGTGTCTATCACTGAGAGGACTGTTAGAATTCTACTTGAGGTCCTAAGTCGAGAATAATTGATTATTCTATAGCCAAAATATTCCCTCACCCACCCATCCCAAACTAATAAGGTGTATCATAAACCCCAATTCATTAAGTTAATAGAATAGAAAGTCTACAAAAAGCAGAGGTGGCCCTGGCTGGTTTGGCTCAGCAGTTGGAGTATTAGCCCATGGACCAATGAGTCGTGGGTTTGATTCCAGCCAAGGGCACGTACTTCGGTTGCAATTCTTCCCTGGCCCTGATCGGGGTCGTGCAGGAGGCAACCAATCGATGTGTCTCTCTCACATTGATGATTCTTTTTCTCTCCCTCCCTCTCTCCCACTCTATCTAAAGATGAGTGGAAAAATATCCTCAGGTGAGGATAAAAAAAAAAGCAGAGGTGCCCTCCCCTACATCCAGTGTCAGCAAAGCTTCTATAAAGTGTCAGAGAGTAAGTGTCCCCACCCTTTGCCTTACTCACCTTCCAGGCCCATACAGTTACAGCGCCTCTTCCTCTCCCTTGATCTGAAATGGCCATCTAATGGCTTGTCTAATCCCAGCCGTGCTCACGTGACACTTCCTCACCTAGCTGGACACACATCCCCTGCCACATAACTGAGAAAAGCTTTTTCCCAGTTAAGAAAATCCTTTAGTCTTTCCATCTTGGGCCTTATGCTCTCTGTGGGTGCTTCCACGGTAACCCAGGAGATAGCTAGGAGATGCCTGTTGGGGACAAAGGTCAGCTACCTGAGCTCAGTGCCCCAAAGGTCTTGAAGACATGGTTTCTATCATGCTGAACTTATTAGAATCCATGTTCATGATGTAAATTTCAAAAACATACAGGGATGATGTGTAAATAAAGGCATGTCAGCAGTTGCCATTGATACACTATACAGAAGACCCCCACCCCCAATTCTTTTTAAATTATGGGTTTTGCTGATTTTATTTTTTTTAATTCTGGTCAGTAGACATCTGCAAAAGGAGATTCTTGTCCCTATAGGACATCCAGAATGAATCAGAAGTTGAAGTTTGGGGTTAATCTAGTCTTAGGTATCCTTTTGAAAAGAGCCCTTTCAAAGTAACCCAGCGTTTTCTGTGGGCCACAATTAAGTACATCAATATCTCTAGATTTAACTGATCTAAACTAGTCACTCATTTCTGACAGGGCCATTTGCTCATAGATAGCATTTATTTAACAGTTGAATGCAAAAATGTTGTGTCCAGTTAGGTCTAGTTTTCCACATAGGCATTACTCACACATCTCATTTACAGGGCTTAGTAGTTGTGTGTGTGTGTGTGTGTGTGTGTGTGTGTGTGTTACAGATTTATTAATTCATTCAAGCACCTGCTTGGTGTCTCTCTAGGATCTGAGAATACTGAAATAGAGAAAACCTGGTCCTTGACTCCCATGTATTCAGAAACTGGTAGAGGAGAAAGACATCTAAACAAAATCTGTATGATCTATTGTGATAGGTGATTTAATAGAAATAAGAAGTGAGTAATTTAGGAAAGTAGAGCTAACTGTCTGAAGATGTGACAAAGTTTAAATGAGGAAAGAGTTGTTCATTCTACTCTGGCATAGTAAAAAGCACTAGATTTGGAGCCAAACACATCTTTTGACTGGCCTTGCTCAAGTTACTTGACCGTACTGAGCCTCAGCTTTCTCATCTGTAAAGTGGGGTTAACAATAGTCACTCTGATCAACAAATAGCTCTCTTCCCTTCTCAGGCCCTTTTCTCCAGAGGCCACGTGTGGCCAGGCAGCACGTTGTTGACTATCGGATGGAAGGGGCAGAGGAGAGATCAGTTTTTGTGGGGTTGCATGGGGACAGGGCTCCCGTTCTGAATGAGAGCCAGGAAAAAACACACCTGGGTCAACTATTGTCCTGCTCCCCCTGGGAGCTCATTTGGACAATGGATGATAGTGTATCTTTTCCCAGCAAAGCCTTTGCATATTTTACTGTCCTTCCAAGTTGACTGAGGGACCTGGTCAAATTACATACTTCAGACTGCTTTTTACAGTAAGTTTCTACACTGAACCAGTTCTGTGACTCTGCAGGGCTCACTGTAATTCCCAAGTCACCAAAAAAGGTATTTAAACTTTACACTAGCGAGATACCTAGGATGCTTTCCCAGTGGGCAAAAAGTGAATGTTTATGAATAATATGTTCTTGATACCTAATTTCTGGAGGTGGTGGAGTGCTTTACATTTTAATGAAATTTTGTGTATTTTCAGGCTGATGAGTGGACATTGTACCCTAAAATAGCCTTAAATCAACTAAGTGATGCATCTGTTGGAGTATGAAATAGAACATAATTATTTACCCTTTATAATTTTTTGTGAGTTTCAGCCTTACAGCCAAATCAACCTGGAAAGGGCTCTAATAGCCCATTTTAGTCTACCCATGGTGTTACATCCAGGAGCCACCAGTCTGTGCCTTTTGATATTTTGACTGCAAAGTAATTTACCTGTAATTGAGGGTGCACGTGTTCACTAACTTGCCAGATGTCACAGCAGGGGAGACGAGATTGACATCAGCGTCTCTCCGACCCTAACCCTGCTGATGGGAAGGTTAGGTTTCCCGGCCCAGGGTTAGCCGGAGGAAAAGCCACTGCAAAGAGCGATTCCCCAGGGTAGAGTGCTGGTGTGGTTATGACAGACAAGCGACGGAGCACCAAAGCGCGTGTCCCTTTGTTTCTTCCAGGGGAGAAGCCCTACAAGTGCACCTGGGAAGGCTGCACCTGGAAGTTCGCTCGTTCGGATGAACTGACGAGGCACTACCGCAAACACACGGGAGTGAAGCCATTCAAGTGCGCGGACTGCGACCGCAGCTTTTCCCGGTCGGACCACCTGGCGCTGCACCGCCGGAGGCACATGCTGGTGTGAGGAAGGCCACGCGTCCAGCTGAGCCAAGAGCTGGCTCTCTTAGCGGCACCCAGTTCAGCAGGGCTGACTCCCCTTCACAGTGTTAACGCAAAAGGGCATCACCATCCCACGATGTCTGACACCAGAGCAGGAACAGAAGGAACACTTCTCCTTTCGGTCTGAAGGTAACCCCCATCGCGACTCCACGAGACCCGTCTTCACGCTGGCCTGGGAGGCCCAGACACAGATGCCGACGAGACAGGCATTGCTCTCCGTGCTGTGTACTCTGCCATTGAAAGATGTTTGTAGCTTGTCCATTTTCTGAGCGGTCAGACTTTTTGTTATTGATCCTTTAAAGGTCATCTACCACAAATTGATGGCTAGAGCGAGACCTGATAAATGGGGATTCTTCTCCCATCGTCCCACCCCTTAACCCCTTTTTTACAGAATTTTTAGTTACCATCTGGGTAAGCTAGAACACACATCCAGTCTGTGGCCAGCAAGCAGCATGAAAGTAGAACAGAAGAAGCTGGTGGAGAGGCCCCATTACCTGTAAAGAGAGGGGCCCCCAGGCAGCCCTGTGCAATAGTGATGGCGGCAGCTAGATAGCGCCCGCGACTTGTCATGATGCCATGCCCTGAAGAAAACCAACATTGAGTCTTTCATTTGTTTGTTGTTGATTGTTTTTGTTTTGTTTTGATTCTGTTTTGTTCATCTGTTCGCAGAGGGGCAGCGACATTTCAGTCGGAGTCTAGTCCCGGTGTCTGCCCTGGCCTGGACCGGCGCAGAGTTGTTCTGTAGTTGAATAGGAAGAGCCTGTCTAAAAAAACTACTGCCCCACTTCAAATTGCAGTGTTCTGTCACCTAGGCATCATCTCTTCCTGCCCCTAGTATTTGATTACAAGGAATCAGGGGGAAAAAAACTTTCTTAGACACACTGGCACCAAGGGAAGAAGAGGTGGGGCTGCCCAGGCAAAGTCAGTGAACATGAAAAATCAGACAAAGCAGAGATGGAAATAATGCGCCTCTTGAGGAGAAAAGCAATAACGAATAAAAGGACTTTCCTACAATAACTCCACTGAGGACTCACGTTACCAATTTTCATACTTACTAAAGGGATTGTAAAAAACACCCCAGCATTTCAGATGTCTTGGTTACATTTGCAGCACTGAGGTAATCTTTCTGCTGTTTGTTGTCCTGCTTGGTTGACTACCACAATTAAAGAGTATGCTCCCCTTTTCTGTTTGAAAACGGTTATTTGGTGACGAGGCCAGGGAGGCATAGCAGGGAATTAACTCTTGGGTTAATGGGTCAGCTCTCCTTGGAACCAAGTCAGTGGCGAGGGAGTGCTCCCGAGGAAAGCCCGACATGGTGCTAGCTTCCTCCCTTGGAGAGCCAAGGATACGTGACTCTCCAACAGGTTCTTCTCTACACATTTCATTTTCTAAACTGCTTCTGCATTGGCATCTGCAGGGATGTTGAACCCGCGCATCCTGTGCTGAGGGTGAGAGGCAATTACAATCCTGTCAACCCCCTAAAATTATGAGCCTTTTTGGCATCTAGCAAAGTATACAGTAAACAAAGCAATACATCACCAACAAGCATTCTTTCAGAAAAATTATCATATTGTTTTCCCCACTAAAAGCTGGGTTTTTTTTTTTTTTTTTTTTCAGCTTTATGTGGCTAAGGGGCTTGGTGAGGTTTTTAGTTATTATTGTTAAGATTTTTTATAGCTTAGATATAAACGTTGCCAGCATATAGACCTTTGCAATATATTTTCATTACAAACACTTGATTTTGGGAACTGCACAAATTAACCTCACAATATTACTAGCTCATTTTTAAATGTTTGAACATTCTGAAATAATTTCCAGTTGCAGAATTACCCTTTTTAGGATCGTCTTCTAAATGCAGATAATCTTATTCTGATGAAGCAAGAACTATAAACATTGCAACAAAGACAATTTGTGTTGGATGGTATTAAAAGGAATTTTTTTAAATGTTCAAGCAACAGCGTAATGATTTTCAGGTCAAATTCTATCTTCAGAAATATGTGCTCTACATTTTCTGCCAGGTCTGAAAAATTCATCAGGCAATTTCCCTCCAACAAGGGCTGCAATTCGATTGATAAATAGCTTCTTTAGCTACACAATCTACTACCCACCAAGCACTGGGATTTTTCTATCAACTGGAAAGTTTTTTATCTGTACTGTATGCAACTCCTACTTCTCATTGCCTGTGACCATTTGGAACAGAAAAAGGTTTCTTGATGCATGCCGGCACTGGTTATTGGTCAACGACAAAAAAAGAGTGGTGAACACAGCCATGGAGCCCTCTCCGCTAGTCCCAGAACCTAGTTGGCAGCTAGTAGGTGAATTGCTCAGGTCAAGTGGAGACTTGATTTCATTCTGCCTGCTCTCATCAGGAGGGCCAATCCTCTTCTCTGCTGAGAAATGTCTTAAGAGTGTTACAGGTAGAAATGGTTTTTAGAATTCATAGAACTGACAGGCGGTGGGAGCGTCCTGAGTGACAGCTTGATTTAAATTTAGCCCAGAACTAAATGAGCTGCTCCTCTCTAATAACATAGGAAAGATTCAGGAAAGGGAGCTTTTCTCCTCGTCCTCTGAAAGCGGAACCCACCCTGATAAAACCTGTCAGGGTTACACCATTTCCCCTTGGACATGTCAATACTTCTAAGGAGGGATCCCAAGCACAAGTAGTGGGTGAGTTACTGATGTAGCCCCAGGACTGAAACTTATTGGGGGTTGGTCTTGAGACATAGCAAGTGCTTTTTGTTGCGTTTTCTACAAATGTTCTCCAAGGAAAAGAAAGTGGTTTGGGAGAGAAGGAATTGGATTTTTAAGTAGGAGTATCTTTAGGCTTAGAAAAGCCTCTCCATTTCGTCTTCTGTCCATTCTAGGCTCTTTTAAAAAGCACAGTGGATGATGAACAACAGGAAAGATGTAGAATCCAAAGGACTCGTCCTAAACTCGCCCTAAAACTAGTATTCTTTGGTCTTAAAGTCGAAGCTGTTCAGTCGGTCTGCAGCTGGACGTGTGTGCCTGTGGGAGCTTCTGCCCGGTGGTGCTCGTGGCTTGAGAAGCCACCGTAGACCTGACTGTCTCTTTGCACTGCAGAGAGTGAGTTCAAGGGGGTTCACATTATTTGAAAGTTGTAAGGCTCAGGCTTTGAGGTTTAAATAGATTCCCTCTTCGTGTTCTGATCTTAAATTGTTAGAAAGAAGAAAGATCACACTTCCCCATCCTCCTCCAGCCCCATCCTGTCAACTGTGTGTGGACTCAGAAGCCTGCTCGATAACTTGTCTTAAGTTCTCGTACAGAATTGAGACTGAAATTCCTAATGACTTTACCATAAAGACCATACTACTGCCTGGCATTACTTTTGCAAAACATTATAGGACATGTATTTGCAAAAAAGCAGTTGAGTAACAGTAACATAAACCACATGGAAGAAAAAAAGAAAGAGCACCTTTTTTTTTTTTTTTTCACTTTCAAGTTTTAGTGGAAAATAGGAAGAGGAGTGTTGGGGGAGGGGAAATCTTACAAAAAGCTACAGTGTTTACAATGCCAGTTCTAGATTAGAAAGGTCATTTTCATCATGGTCGAAGTTTTGCATAGCTCATACAAAGCTGTGTTCATTTTTATACAACTTTTTAAAACTTCAAATCGCCATTTGTGTTTTAAACATAAGTATAATTCTGCACTTTGAAATCAGTTCATTAGAATGATAACCTGTATATGGATAAAGATGCAGTATTCCTTATTCTGTACTTTATTTATTATACTTACCAAAGCTGCAGTTAAATAAATCTGGTAAGGTGAGGCCTTCAAATGTATTAATACGCCTTTGTTATGTTGTTATGACTGCTTAGAAATGTAGCCATAATGTTGTTATAAAGGTGTCTTAGCATTGAGAGTAAGGATCGACAGAATTTAAGCAGTGTTAAGAATACCAGCATCCATGATACTTTGAGTTATAGTCTTCATCTAAGGGACTGAACATGACATAACTCTTATGAATCACAATAGGCCCAGGAAGCCTTAATGCTCATGGTCCATACGCCAATCTCAGATTTTGCTCTTTACTGATACCTATAGATTTAGGGAATAAATGTATTCTACAACTTCACTGACCAAATCTCTTCCTTCAGTTTTTCTGAGGTAGTGAATCTCATTTAGAAAAAAAAAAAAAAAAATCTTTTGCTTTGATTTGGTTTTGTTTCAAAACGAGGTTTGGTAAGCTATGTCTTCCATATTACCTTTCTACTTATCCCCACACTGCCATGTACTTACCTGCACAGGCACCGCCAATACATGCACACCTGTATACACACCGGTATATGCAGCAGCCAGTGGGCTCATAAATATCAACAGAAAACTTTTTTAAAAGAATGAATTTGTAATAATCCATGCTGTCTACAAATGTAAGTTATTTACCTTATTAGGGAATCAGCTTATAATGCTATATATGACTTTGCCTGCATTTTATAGTTAAGAAGTGTACATAAAAATTTTAAATGCTATATTTTCACAGGTTCATTATAGAGTAATGTCTGTTTAGCAACCCATGTCCATTGGTACGTTAAATGTGCTAAAGACTGTGCATTTGCAATAGAAATTCAGATTTTCCTAAGAAAATGAAATTGAGGATACTGCATCTTTAAAAAAAAAAAAAAATAGAGTGAAGCTATTTTACTGTATTCGTAACATATGTGATAGTGGAAAAAGTATTTTCAAACTCACAAATTTTACAGAGGTTGTAAATAGTTTGATGAAGTATGTTGGGAAAAAGAGCTTCTAGTTTTCATCACAATAAAAAAAGAAAACTTGTTCAGATATGCCTTGTGTATCTCACACACAATTAGCGCTATTGCCATGGGAACTCTGTTCCACTTGCTCACAGCACGGCCCTCGTGCTCTGACAAAACGGAGTGGCCACTTGTCTCTGTCCAGCCAGGAGGGCTTAAAACACAGTGAACTCATGTTAAGTTGCAAACAACTGATTCCAAATTCAAAATGTCTGAAAGGGGGAATGAGCCGCACGGGATTTTCCGTGTGCAGAAGAGAAGCATCTAGCAGTTCTCCTCTTTTCTCCGTTATCTTCCTCCTCAACCAAGTGGGTCTCGATCCAAAATAAACCAACAAAACTTCCAGAGGGAATACTTTTAGGAGCAGCTACAGGTTGACAAGATTGAGTGTGATGGCCACATGTTAAATTAATCCATACGGCAATAGAAATAAGCTAATGCCCATTTTCAGAAATGAGTTAAAAGCTGAAAGTGCCTGTCAATAAACATTATGACCAATGAGATCTCCCTGTACTTTTACACAGCAATAATTCTTCACACTGGGGTTGTCCTCTACATTTGGAAACACAAGCTCATATGCACATAGTAAATTGGATCTGTTCACACACCCGCAAAAAATTCTCTTGTGTCTTCTTAAATATACCCAATCTTGTTTATGTTGGCATTTCTTCATGCAGTCTTACCGAATATAAGGATGCAAACCTGAATATTAAAGTTATCTTTAATATACACTATGGCATATGGCCGTTATCATTTTGAGATAAAAACTTCACTGTGATTTGCCCCAAACTTAGGAAGCACTGAGTGTCAGAAAGTTTTGCTTCTTTAACAAATGCAAATTTATCTAGAACAAAACACTAGA